TAAGGTAAGAACTCAATAACTTTTTTGTCGTGAACGGTGCCTTTAAGAACAAAGTGAGCCAAGTGGATTAGCGCTGATTTATCGCAACTAACGAATACGCCATGCACTCGAATCCCAACTAAAATTTTTGAGATGATCAGATTTGGCATAAATTATGACCCGGTTCGGCTTGCCGTTGTAGTGAGCTGATGTTTTCATCATTCTAAACTAGTTTAACTCAAATAACTACCACAAAAACAGAGGACTCTCGAATGGCCGGCATTGGGCGAAATTGAATTCGGGGTTTGATTCCTGGACAAGATCCCCACCACTCTCCAACGGAGGAAAGTTGTTCTGGGGTTCGGAGACGGAAATTACATTAGACCATCCGGATTAGTTCAGTTAGAAAACCCAGCAAAAACCAGGGCGGCAGTTACTATGTGGGTTTAAGATTCTTCCTAAGACTTTTTCAACGCGGACTATATACATGTGAGGCCAGGGTATTCGAAAACCTCTCCGTCCACTTGGAATAGAGAAAAACCAACCCCAATAACTACTTTCGAAACGAGAACCACAATTCAATTATTCAGAAGCACAATTTCAAGTTTTCAAGGTAATCTCGAATTCCAATTGACTCACCGGTAGCAAATTTATTCCACCCGATCCGGTACCGGATCCCGTTGTCTTCGAACCAACTCCTCGAAAACGGGCTTGCGCAGCCCCTTCTGAGCCTATAGGCTTCGCTACAGCCATAGTTGGCTCATCAGGGATTGGTGCCTCTGGCACTTGAGGACATTGGCCGCCTCCTTTGGACACGTACTCCATAAGGGTTCGTGAGCGAGCTGTACCTGAAATGTTGGGATTGGCTAAGTGGGCACAATGAAAAATGTTCGAGCAAGTGACGTGCCTTCTCCAGAACGATTCTATTTGAAGCATCGAATGAGCCATGAAGTCACAAAATACAGAACAAGGCGTTAGATTGGACAGTACCTTGTGAAGGAGCTCGCCTTGACACCTCTTGTAGGCTGAGGTTATGTGGTTGACGGGCGGCCGCTCGCGAAGCCTCTTCGGATTCGATTGACCTCTGCTTCGACTGCTTAAAAGGAATTATCTGAAATCGTGCTCAACTGTACTTCTGGACAAACTGCCACAAGATCAGATTCAGCAGAAGCTTGTCGGAGCCAATTATTCCTTAGCAGTACTCACCAAAGGGTTCAGATGTGGTGCAACCAACAAACACACGGAAAGCAGCAAAACCGCTAAACATGTACCAGCCTGGGCTCCACGACGAGTACTCTACAAAACGAAAAAAATGATTGACGAGAAGGAGAAAAAAGCTGCGAAAACTGGTTATTTACCTGGCCAAGGGCTGCCTGAAGCTTCCGTAGCTGTGACAGAACCGATTGATGTTGACGAGTGAGTAACTCTACCTAAACAACAGAACTCCTAGTATCGTTTCAAGAAAAATGGCACAACGTGTTCTACTGTAGCACTCACTTGGGCTTTAAGTTCCTGATTTTCCTGACTGCAATCAGCAACGCGGTCTTCCAACTGTTCAATGTAGTCCTAAAACGGAAAAGCTTAGATTTTGAGCTATCCCAATATTAGAACAGAGGAATGACCTCCAATGAATGAAGCATTTTGTGGCAAATGAAAGGATCGAGAAGGTTATTATGGTGGGTTCTGAAGTGTAGTCCAAGAAACAACCTGTTCAACTGCAAGAGACCTCTGCCCTTACGAGGAAGTGCTTAATGAGTATTTTTTTATATGGCCGTCACAGAGATTTGTTATGCCTTCTTTGCAGAGACTACATATGTACCTAGCCTATGTCTTGTCTAGCTTTAAAGGAACCACCTCGTATGTGAAAAAAGTGGTTCCAAAAAATCGGATTCCTTGGTTGCTTTGTTTACAATGAAGGATCTCCCTTGCGGAGTTTTTAGGCGGAACAACCAATTCCAGTGGCCTAAGGTTTTGTTGGTATCGCCCATCAGAAATCATGTTCCACCGGAGGCAAGGAAAACTGCTGACACGCTGCACTTAAATCAGTAGCGACTCTAATGGAGACCAGGCAATGAGTACAACCTTTCAGTTCGTCAGTGAACTGCAGCTATAGAAAACGATTTCACCAACAAGAGGTATCAACTCAGTGCCTAGCGAGCAACTTTCGTTCGCTCAGTAAGCTAAATGGGTTTAGCCGGCTTTAGAAGGGGAAGAGCGAAGTGACCCGCTGATCACTGTGAAGCACCTCAATTGTCCAAAATGCAACCACAAGAATGTTCTTCAAAAATTGCACTAGAATGATTTCTTATCATTAGGTCCTCAGTCCCCTTCTACCGAGTTTCAATTCGCTCTAGCCAGTTACATTCATTGAAATATTTACCTTTGCGAACTCCACTACACTTTTTTAATCCCTCCTAATAAGCTTCCCTAGTGAACCAAAAACACCCCTATTGGATTGTTCCATCTTGGGTCAGTAAGATCCAATTACCAATTACCACTCGTAGACAACTTCATTCATAATGAGGATAATGGGCTGAATGC